CGTTATCATCTTCCCAGCTACAGAATCTAATTCAGTTCAGATATCGGTCTTCGACCTCCTCCTCTGTAATTCCACATATGTAAACTGCGTCCATGTCTTCTCACATTTCTGCTACCACTACGCTTTTGGTGTGACAGGAAAGTAAAATGAGCAAATTTTTAACCTAAAATACCTGTCTCTGAAGAAAACACTTGATGTCACTGTAAGCTAGGTTTAGGTCCCCTGCCTATAAAGTCCAAGGGTAGACAATAACTATAAAGATCAAACTTCTGTTTATTAATTCTATATCATAGCTGTGATTAGATATTAAGTTCTCTCTCATCAGTAGCAATGAAGTCTTAGTCAGGAGAAACGGACAGCAGGCCATCTGGCTTCGGAACCAAAAAATTCTCATTTGACAACTCCTCCATTTACTTTTCACGCAAGATCTAATGAATTTAGTGTACTTTTCAAAGCAACAGAAAGCAGAGATTCTATATTGAAAAGCACGGAAAAGAGTCAAACCACAGCTGAAGAGCTACATTCCTGCCAGAAGTAAGCAAGCTGGGAGGAGAGTGGGATAAGGGCAAAAATTTTCTAATGAGAACAACTGAAGTCTAGCTATCTATGTCTAGCTATGAAGTCTAGTTAACTATTTTAAAAGACATTGTTCTAGTAATGGCAGTTATGAGAATTACTAAGGTGACTACTTTCTTTGCTGGCACTGTCCTGGTACTAGTACTTTATTGAGCTCCGACTTCTTTATTTTAAAATAGCTGTTCAAAAAATTAGGAAAGGTTTAAACTGACACCTGGTTTGGAAAATTCACCTTACAGCACAAGTTGGAAAAGGTCAGCTACTTTGCTAAAGGAAGAAAGAACAGGATGTTGCCTGATCATTATAAAAAAAAAAACTTGCTAATACAGGAAAATAAAAACCAGAAATCAGTCTCGCCGACAAAATGCTGAGGACATCCTACTTTCTATTGGATGCTTCCCTCTCTGCCAAACCATGAAGATAACTACCCACTGGAACAGAGTACCAGACTTCCCTTCACTTGAAATGCTCATTTAAAGACTAGCTTTTGTTCTGTAAGATATTCTAATTATCAAGAATGTTCTTCATTAAGCAGAAGATCAAACTAGACAAGCACAATTATCTCATCTAGTCTTAACCAACCAGTGAACAGCCTATTTTCAAGAAAATAAAAAAGTACAAAAACATATATTAGCTATATTAGACTTTGTATTAGGTATTGCAAGAAAAGTAATTCAGAATAAGATAAGTTTTGATATTTTAAGATGTTTCTTATTTTCAGAATGATGACATTCATACTTTTGAGGGGATAATATAGGAAAGTCCATGAAAGCTCAACTGCTTGTGGTCACAGGTTTGGCTTCAGACAGATTTGAAAAAGCTTTTTGCACTTTTGTTAGCCCCAAATAACCAACTACACAGAAGAGCGTCAGAAAGGACATGCACTTTTTTTCGTGCTCAAACATTTTAACAGTTAATTTACAGAAGACTCCTAAGGGTCTGCTTAGGATCTGGAATTTTGGCCTTAACGCTGGAGAGAGCTAGCTGACCCTCCTTGCCACCAAGTTATACATACAATACAGTGCTTTTTCAGAGGTGGTACTTGGAGAGAGCGCTACATTAGAGAAGGCCTTTTTCCTGATGGTACCCTACCCGTCCAGAAGGGGCTTCCAAAACATAACACAGGATGGAGCCGAGACTCAGAAAATTCAGTGAGCACACTACACCAGTAGCTGGCTGCCTCCCCACATGCCACCATCCAGGTTTTCAAAAGTTTGACTTCTGTTTAGGACATCTCCCCTTTGCTTCTTTTCTGCTCAATTTCTTTTTATCATGTATTTTTCAACAAATTAGACCATTTTTATTGGTTTGTCAGGTGTTTGTTCTCGTTTAGATTAATGAATACCAGTTCTATTTTAATTAACGGTGTTTTGACTTTACAAAACACTCCTAAACAGTAAGTCTCATTTTGATAAAAAAATCATACGGCACATAAAAACCGGTTGGTATTCTAGAAATATACACTACGCAGATCTACAATTTTAGTCCATACACATAGTTTCTATCACCTTCATTTAGATCACTCTCATAAACTGACATAAAACACCGAATAATTTGAATGCCTTACTTTGTAGGAGGTGGAGACTAACAGATGGGCGATATTCTGAACTGCGCCGTGGTTAAACAAGATTGTCTGGTGATCTGGACCCTACAAAGGAAAATATACAAGGTGATTTTTTTTTTTTTTAAGAACATGTAAAGATTCCACTACCTCTAATTTTTATAAGTACTAACAGGTAGATGTAATTATCTTTTTGTTTTTACAAACTACCTTTGCTTTTACTAACAACTACTTTTGCAATCAGTTGGCATACTTTTTTTTTTTTTTTAAATAAGGACATCCAACTATGTTATTTTTAGAGCATATGTTGTTTTCTGGTAACCATTTTCACTCTTTTTCTCAACAGGAAACTATGGAGCAGGAGTAGGTAGATCAGCAATAGAATGAGTGAAATTAGTTTTCACAAAGGAAGGAACACTGATAGAGTGCCTAAGTTTCTATTCTCCATATTGGAGGCAATTACTGGAAAAGTCCCAATTTTCTCTGCAAATCATGTAAAAGATGCCCAGTGATTTTAATGCCTTTTTCATTTCAACAACCCTAGCTCCAAAAGGGAGACAATAAATTCTAAAATCGTTTCCAGACAGCATGTGACAGTGCTTTGAGAACAGATTCACATTTTCCTCCTACAGAGTATTTTGGTTTCAGATATATTTAACCATAAATCTAGTCAGCTATCACCCATTTATTGACTTTAAGATTTAATAAAACAATGTCTGATACGTCAGTATTTTTCAAAAAAAGCATTTGGAATCAACACAAATACCGAATTTTGCAGAAGAGAGGGCTCAGAGCTTCTATCGTATGACAAGGCTCCATGAGGTCAGAAAAAACACAGAAAATCCCAATGGGCCCTGCAACCCTCAATAGTCTTATGAGATCTGACCTGATCTTACTTACAAACATCGCTTTAGAAAGAGATTCATGACTCTAGTCCTTCTGGCACTAAAACATGGGCCACTTGCAATCTCTAAATTCAGCTTTTGGAATGCCACAGCATTAATCGCACCTTGATGCGTTTTCTTGACTAATCTGCAAGCAAAGAAAATATCTTTGCGCCTTAATTTTCTGCTCAAACCCAGCTGAGTCTATGGGCGACCCTAAACACCCTAGTATACATTACGTTGCTTTATTTTCACATTTCTGAGGTACAGCTGAAATCAGATTCCCTTTAAATTCAAAAGGACATCCATTGACCATTCTTTACCTCTACAGACCAAAAAAAGCATGAAAACTACTTTTAGCTGTAACATATCTGGTGCTTTAAGAGATGCTTCAGCTGCTACTGCCACCAAGAGCTTTCTACCAAAAAACGCAATTAAAATAGCATGGTTGAAGGAGGAAAACAACTTACATTGGCACACAGAAGTGGCTGAGGCAATGATTTAAAGCCGCAGCTATGCCAGTGTTGGAGCTGAAGAACAGATATTAAAATACGTGAAAAAAATGAATAAAATGAAAGTAAAAAAATCATTTTGACCTAGATTGTTTTAGTCATTCACAGATATTACTTAGCTAGACATCCAGGGCCAAATCTTCAATGAGATGCAAAGGGTATACTATGTGCAAAGAGCACAGAGGTGACGTTTGGGTGTACTCATACTGCATAACTAGAAGTACATACAAATATCCAGGCTGCACACACAAGTCCAGCTTGCTTATTATATGATCTGATTGAGAATTAACCCACAAATAGGGATAGCTTCAAATATAAAGACTTGAGAATATAATGCATCCTTCCTCGTCAATCCCAAATATCGCTGACACCGGTTAACAGCAAGGCATTTTGGTTTTGTTTTACTTCCGCTACATTGACAGAGTTCGAGGAGCCAGTTCTATTATAGTGACATTTTTCTCCAAAGGTGATTGAGAGCTGTAATACTTCAGGAAGAGAAATCACAGTTCTTGCATGATTTGCATCATAAGAAGCCCATTTTCAAGAAAGCAGTAGGATCGAAAAATGTAACGATTCATTCAGTAACGAGATTTTCAAAACAGATTTCTAAATACAAATGTACCTTTCTTCAGGCATCCAGCACCAGGCCTAGGATCACATACGAAAACTTTCTCAGAACAGGACTTAGGAGGAACTGCCTTGATTACAGGCTTTATCCTGGACCTTTCCCAGAAAGAAGTTTTTAATTTTCAGTTGGTGGTGAAAGTATTAGTTATGCAGAGATATCACCATATTCAAATATAATATCCAGCACTATCTCTGCAAATTATTCATACTACCGTTTGTTTCCAAATGCATGTCTCACCTTCTTAATTTGACTATTAAAATAGTAAAGCTTACCTACTCACGTCACTTTCTCTGGAAATAAGTCAACTGTGACAGAGAGAATCTTAAAAAGTAAATTTTGACTTGCATTTTAAAATGCATTGCACATTAACCTGATTTCAGTTTACTCAGTGTTGCTTACGGGGAGAGAGAGAGTCCTGGCTGGGTACATTATGAACTGCACCCACTTCCCCCGTAAATCACCACTTTTCCTTGCTTAGGCATGGCCCTTCTCCAGGGTCAACACTTTCCACCAGTCAACTTTAACTCTAAAAATGCAGGGAAAAGCAGTAAAAGCATGCAGTACAAACAGAAAGCAACAGTAAGATGCTAATAACTTGAATAAAGGATTTCCTAGCTGTGGAAAACAGGCTGAGGTTTTTCACTGAAATTCGAGCAGGAGAGAGAGAGAGAGAGAAAGAGAGAGAGAGAGAGAGAGGGAGGGAGAGGGAGAGGGAGAGAGAGAAAGGAACCCAAGAAGCCGAACCCAACCGAAACTCTCAGGCCAGGAAAAGAGAAAGTATATGCACAAGAACTAAGCAGAGAACAGTATGTAGGAATACTGCTCATTAGTTTAACGAAAAATCTATTCAGAGGAGGGAAAAGAAAATAAAAGCTTGCACACCTCCTATATGCTAAGGCTTACCTAAAAACTAAAACTTATAACCACCCATTTCTGCAGGAAAAAATCAGAAAGGTTCTCTCAGTCTTTTGAGGACAGAGTCTTCATTAAACGTGCTGTCAATACTGAAATTTTCAGGAGTATTTGTATGATAAAAATATAGTTTGTCTGTCCGTATAAATCAGAAAATCCCTTACACATTCTGCTTCACTGCATGAGATGTATTTTGTTATATCTGAACATATAGCAATTGACCTTTTGTTTTGGTTACCAGATCTGAAACCCCAAATTTAAGCAACATAAAGGAGGGGACATTTTAGGGTTTCTCTCAGCTACATTTGCCTGGAAAAGACAAAAACGAGTTCTTGATCAATTTTGGATTTCTGATGATATTTACTCAACCTCAAATATTTTTCTTTGCTTTGCTGCTAATACTTAGTCTATAAATGTAACTATTTCCTATTATTCAGATCCATGCAGTTTCCTTTTCCTGTGCATTCATGTTTCTGTCTGTTCACACTAGCAGTGCTTTTTTCCCCCCAGAAGTTTGCATTCCTCAAAACATTCACTGTAAATTTTCTTTGATGATGCAGGCGCTTAAGATAGCATCATGAGTTTGTAAGACCTTTCCTTTTTGCTCTCATTAAGCGAGCAGGCTTTTGTTTTGCTAACTATCTATTTCATACACAAGTCAGCAGGAGTTAATATAGCTACAAGGAAAAAGATAACAATATCCCTTTTCAGGTTGGGCGAGTTACCTGACGCAACTCAGCAGTTTCCATACAGCCAACCTGGTCCATACTGCCGCTGAGCTAGCCTCTAGTTGTAGAAACAGACTTCTAAACGTTTGTAGACCTCAGTCCTGTGTTATTTTTTTGTACACCAATATGGCCCAATTTTTCAACTGTTCAAGCTACCCAGCCTAATATGGAGATTATCAAAGGCCACACAAACATGAACAAATTGTTCTCATCAAGTTGTAGATGCTTATTTTATGCCTGTCGTGAGATCCCTGTAGGTTGTCACCAGGCAGGAAGGATTCACTCGTGTGTCAGAGAAGGAGAACACTAGGGAACAACCAGCCCAAACACCTGACTTGACTGTTTTCCCACTGCCTGCTCCACATCTTTACATCACCTCTCCTCATCCCAGGACATGGGCATGCTGGATGGACGACTCACGGAAATTAATGGAATTTTTCCTTTTTCAGTTACATCAGGTAATGAAACACAGCTTCAATGTCTTAGTCGCTTTAATTTTCAACTTAAAAAGAGGTCCTAGAGAAGTAGACAACGTTTTAATTCAAATCCCATTAGCTTTGCATTCTTCTTTATGATAATGCTGTTGGCATAAGACTTTGCATAAAATAGGGGGTTGCTGTTTTTAAATTAGAAAAAGTTTTCCCATATCAGGAGATTTGTGCTATATGGCAGGGATTAACACGTATCCGGATAAACCTGTGGAGTTGGACCGAGAAGAGCACTTTTCTCCCTCCTAACCTACAATACCTCTTAGAAAATATCCTCTGGGTTTAAAATAACTGGCTTGAAAGCAGATGCAAGATATCTGCAAAGACATGCTCAAACCATTCTGAGGCTTCCAAAGAAAAAATGAAGTCTTCCTAAAATTACACTGATAATAGTGAGGATTGATCTTTGCCTAATTGTTGAGTCGGTTTAGCAGCCAAAGACATACACCCTATACAGTCATTTGCATATTTTGCTTTACTGTAGAGAAACTTCTCCCATCCCCAATAAAGCTGTCAGGAAATCCAGGACAATAACAATTCAATCATCACTGTCTTAATGTTCCAGCCACAAAAGGCAACATCATCTTACACAGTTTCTTATACACTGGAAACGCATAGGGAACAAGCATTCTCTTTCTTACTTTGCAGCAATGTGAGAAGATCTGACATATGTATTCTTGTGTATATCGAGACCTACTGAGCAGTGCCATGAGGTGGGAGATAACTGTAGCGTCCTGGAAACAAGTCAGAAAAGAAAACAAGATTAACGCTGTATTTCAGCGCAGTTTGTTAAGAGTTCGTTACTTAAAAGAGTACTCCCCATTCTGTGCTCCATATTCTTAGCAGAAAATGTGTTTCAGAATGAAATAGAGTTCTCCCTTCTACCGAGACTTGCATGGACACAGGACAAGACCATGAAAGTAGTGCAGGAGGGACTAAAAGAAGAAAGTGACAGTTCTGAGACCAACTCTCATGGAAAAAAAATCAATGCGAGTTAGGTACAGAACTTCAAGTTTTTGCCTCTGAAAGGCTTACTTCGTTAGAAAACAAAAACATGAAGAAAAACCTATACTAAATGCAAATGTGGTCACGGAAAGCAACGACTCAAGGAATTTCCTTAATATTTTCTTACTAGAATTGGGCTTTACTTACCTGTTCATTCATCTCAGAGCAGAAGGGATGAGGGAGGGGAGCAAGATGCCAGATGGCACAATGCACAGTCTGCCTTGAATCGGGTGGCACAACTTTCTAGCTGAGTAGGACAAGAGTTTCCCTTGTTTTTAAGTCAAATCCACACTGTTACAGTGTGTGACGCTAACCACAGAGAATGCAAAATAGAGAACAGCAGGAGAAACTCATTACACCATAGTTTCCTCATTACAGCATTTCCAGTTACTACTTAAGCTCCATGATAAGTTAGAAAAAGACAACATTTTAAAGCTTTCAGTTACTTTTAACAGTACACTTTAGTGGGAGCAACAGCAGTGCAGGGAAGGAACACTTGCAACTTTATCGAGTCTGGAAAGGCAGACAACTAAATTATTTACATGAGGCAAAGGGAGCTGAACAGAGGAGATCAAAAACTAAATGAGTCTTCCTTTCCAAAGGACTTATGCTATATTGACAAACGTAAACCAGGTTGTTTAACCTGCAGGAGAACGGACGGATGAATTGCAATCCTCTTCTACAGAGAGGTGGCTACTTTTATGGTAGTGAAAGCAACAGCAGCCAGAGAGATGGACCTAATGACTACAGCTTCAGTGGTACGCAGCTTTTAATGAAAAATTTTATTTCTCCAATTAAAACATCACGCTTCATATATAAAAAAAATAAACATATGCCTAAGCCTCTCCTAGTCTATCTGTATCATTACATATAACATTTGAGATTAAGCAAAGCTAGTTAATATTTATAAATAGCTATGTTTGGACTATAGCGGACTTATTTTATAAGATTTTGGTGCCAACAATCCAGGCTTGTCCTTCTCAACAGAAAACAAAAGGGCCACAGAGCCAAGAATCACACTGAGAATTAAAAGCAACTTCTGTTTCTACTGCTCATTTTTCAGTCGCTGGAAAGGATCAACATGGAACAGACTCATTTGCCATTTCACAATCTTATAGAAAGTTACTTATTAGAAACTGGAGTTTTTCCAGATACATCGGCCATATGTACATGCTCGTTGCATGCCTATGTGCATAGGAAAAGTAAGGCTCAGAGACTGCATTTTAAGCAGTTTTCTTAGCATCTGGTCTGCAGGAGCTCCATCTGATCTCGTGCCTTTACACGTAGCATATATGCAAGTTGAGATTTCTTCTCAACTCCAGAAACCCAATGGTCTACAAGGCATCGGTTTGGTTGTAGGGCAATATTAGATATTAAATCCTCAAGTACATTGCGATAATGCTCATGGTCGTAATCATAAGGAAGGGTCACCTGATTCTCCACAACTCAGGTAAAACTTGCGGCATGTATTAAATTTCCATGAGAAACCAAACAGAAGCAGCAGATAGTCCAACCTTGCTCTCAAGAGAAATATATGTCACGATCCTAAAAAAAACTCTGATTGTCAAAACTTCTGAGAGTCTCCTTCCTCAAGTTAAAGGCAAAACAAGGTGAGGTAACGCCCAGGATTCCTCAGTGGCTTAACATATTTGACCAGTTATAAGTATCTTGTCATTTTCCATTAGTCTTGGACAGCTGAAGATACCAAACCAGGTTGGCGCTCAACACAACATACATACACTGCATGCTAAGGGGCTTTTCAGTGATAAAGGATACCTTGCAGAAAACAGCCAAGAAGCCTTGGAGGGCCGGGGAGGATGATGATGAGGGCACCTCAGGAGGAGGCAGTACCGCTTAAAACAAACAAAGCTTCAAAACAAAAGATGCAAGACCTGAAGCCTCCTGCAGGGAGATCACTGACCAGGTAATGTGGCTCATTTTTAAAATTGCAACTAAAAGGATGCAAACGTTAGTCTAAACGTTAAAAAGGCTAATTACATCCATAGAGACACTGCTCTTGCCAGAGACTGGAGGTAAATCCACAGCTGAAGTGGGGGAATGAAGCTGAGAGGAAAATATCTGCATCTGTCATCTTAACAGGGGCCGGGACAGGACTCTGTTTTTGTAAAATTGTCAAAGAGAAACATAAATATCACCATTCCAAATAAGTGCTAACTATTCTCAAAACAACTTACACAATTATTAAATCAAATATAAATATCCACCTCCCATAACGTTACCCGTTTTGCAATTCTATTTGCGACGACATTCCACAAGTTGCACAATTAGTTTACATTTCTTTAATTTTGGGGTATATTACATAAATCAGAGACAACGCTGACCCTGCAGATAAGCTGGCTCCATCCCCATTCAGAACTCATAAACCCCCTCTATATTCTGAGTTTTATTTCCCTGCTGCAATAAGCACATATGAGGCAGAGGCCAGTATCAAGCCCGGCACCCCAACACATCAGAGGAGGAAGTAAAAACTGAAATAGGAAGGATATTGCACCTGTACTCTAATCCTTAGACGGGGGGAATCCCATGAGCCAAAAATATTATAACTGCCACAGTTAATAAAGTATAGACACTATGTTCCTTAATGTTACTAACGCGAACCACCGTTGCTCTAGAAAACCACCGAACACCACAAAGGTTTTGGGACTACAAGCCTGCAAGCAGAAAACCCAGATTTAACTGTTTTTTCTGGGTTTTCATTTGTCCTGTTATGTTCCCTTCTCCAAAGAGGTGGGATTTTAACTTACAAGCATCCACTGTTATATATTGCTTTATAACCATATTTTGCCCTTACCTCAAATTTGGTTTCCTTTCTGCTAACCAGGAAACTCTATGTAAGAATTTATAGATGTGAGTATCCATTCAGGTTCTTAAGGGCAAAAAAGAAAGCCAGAAGAGTAACAACTAATTTATTTGCCAGTTGATGGATGCTGGATGACCAGCTTACAACCATACCTAACCCTTGGGCAATCTTATGGTCTGCTTTGTGCAATTCTCTTTTCTTCAATCAGATATTTGCAGGAACAGATCTGCATTTTTGTCAAGCAATGACTACAACTCACTCGCATGATCCACCACCCCTATTGTGTGACTGATGCACATCTGGATACAGAATAACGCTGGGAAGTCTGAAGTGGTCCCATAAAAGGCTACATGACTTTCCCTGCTTCCCTCAATCTAGGTGAAAGGTTCTGCAGTATCTCTCTACTTGCATCTAACACAAGCAAAGGAATTACCATAAACTTTCATTTCATATCCTAGGCAGCGACCTAGCAATTCAGTAGTTCAGCTTTATCTGAACTTCAGCAACACAGACCACGCACATGAGCATTCTTCACCATAGTTTGGTAGACTGGAAAGTTTTGGCAAAGATGCAAGTAGACAGAAATTGAGCCCCTAACTGGAAGCTCTACCATATAAAAGAGATGGCTGTAGTATGATACACATAGCGATACTGATCCACACGGCACCACGGCCCAGCGGCAAGTTCTTGGATAAGAACGCACTCATAGCGGATGATGAGAAACATTTTAATTCAGCATTTATGAGAGTGTGCTGTTCTGATTCGAAACACCCTGATAAGGCACTTGTAGAATCGCTGTGACCCTCGACTCTGCCAAAATATGTCTGTGATTTTTATAGTAATTTTGGCATGCTTATCAGAATCTAGGAAGCATATAATTATCTGTGGACATTATGGACCCCGAATTAAATGCTAATAACAACTATATGTGTCAGTATAAGTCTACATAATGTCATATTTTATATACATATATTTTTATATATTTTTAAGTGTACATATATACACAGATATATATAAATAACTTAGATGATCTTTCTAGCAACCGTAATAAGCCATGTTATCAAGTTTAAACTCATAATTTGCAGTTAAAACAATTAAAGATCCACCAATCCATTACAGCGTTGTCTATTTAGTGAGACATATTCAAGACAAATTTCTGACAAATATTTACACCACATTACACGTACTATTACAAAGTTGCTGCTCATCCAAACAGAATTCAGAAGGAAAGAATTAACAAATGGAGCTGCCTTCATCTACGTTACCACTTTGTAAACTGCCTGTTTCTAACAGCAACTGTTTGCAGCACTACTCTCAAAGTGACAGTTACTTTCCAAGGAAATGAGAGCTGTTAAATTAAGAATGCACTTGGATCCCAGTGCTTATCTATTTTCCTCATATTCCTTTTTAACTTTCAAATGATATCTGCAAGATCTATTTTTAAGATATTTCTTTGTAACAGGGGACTATATTCATTTTCCCAAGTTGGAACGGATATAAGAATATCAGCTCTCTAACTAACAACTTCAATTCTCATCCAAGCTTGCATGCTGCAAGCTGAACTAGAGACTATGGTAATGGTGGAGGACAATTTCTACCCTCCAGTCAGTTAACCGTAAACTACAGGTATATAACAAAAAGCAGAGAAATCTTGGAGGTGAAACTCTTCTACAGGAAGTAGAAAAAGCATTCTCACAGTTCGAGTGGGAAGACAGTGTTGGATAAAATTTTACATTTCAGTAACTTCTGTTAGTATAACCGTGATAACAGTAAATAAGATCTATAAATATAATTTAGAGACTATTATTTATTCCTTAAGCTTACATATATAAGCCTGTGCACTTTTGATGTGCTACCTTGTAGCTAGGATGACTTCATATCAAAAAATACTATAAACATTATGCGATGCAGATGCCTTAAATCTAGGCAAGAAACGCTCACATTGTTGGTCAAACAAGCTCTCATTACTACTACAAACTGACAGCAAGACCTTTCACTCCCACCCACTCTATAGGCTTTACTGCATAAACAGCAGTACAAATAAAAGGCCAGAATGATCTGCTTACAACTTACTGCGTATAGTAGATCCTCTGGAGTTACAGGACTGATGAAAATGGTACGGAGACATCGGAGGCAAGCTTCAATAAACTTCAAATCCGGCGACAGCAATCCTATGAATATATACCAAAAATACTATTCAGTTTTGTTATCTTTGCTTGTTTGCGTATTTTAGAAACATTTACTAAAATAGATTGCAATAAGTGAGAAGTACCTTGCAATAAGGCAGGGATAATATGACAGTCTAGTAGGGATTTGACATTGTTCTCTGTACCCATCGCAAGGCTCCCGAGGACCACTGCACATTCTGTTCTCAGTTCTGTGCTGGAGGTTTCTTGCTGAAGTAAGTACAGCAACCTGGAAACAAAATTATTTTTAGAGGAAAATTCAAATGGAAGAAAACCTGTCAGTCAAGTAAAGTAACCTTAAATCCTGCTATGTAAAGAGGATGAAGTCCTTAATCGAAGGACAGAGCCCAAACAAAAGAGAAAGATGAACATTTTTCTTCATAAGAACATGACTGCACAGGTTTGACTTACCATTACGATAAAAAAAAAAGATAACGCCGCATTGATTTTTCTAGAAATGTAATATCACATTGCTGACATCCGGGAAGATGCCTTTCAGGGTACCTGGGAGATCCCAAATTTTAATTAAAGGAAATGAGTCTGCAGTCTGATGTCAAAGGGAAAGGGAACCTCATGCATCTCCCCTAACACCTAGGGGCACGATTACCACAACTGCGATGGCTGTTCTCTTTGGGAGTGACTTCTTCTGCATCAGGGCTGCAAAATAATTCCATCATCAAGCACAAACATAGGGCTGAGGGTGACCCGAGTTTTGAACACCGAGAAACAATCATACACTAACATTAAAAAAAAAAAAAAAAAAAAACACAGATAAGTTTTATGGGCAGGAAGGCAGCTGAATCGTAACTAAACAGGATCATTTCAAGCCTAAAAGAGGAAAAACCTTGCCAAATGCATGTCTTAGGTCTCAAAACTGATTCTTTATACAATATCAAGATGCCTAGGAACCCTTTTTGAACATACCTCAGATTACATCAGTAGCACCTCAATCACAGTAGATGTTACCAAACTTTTTCAGTCTAAACTTGAGTCACATGCAGAGCCCAGAGAGGAACCACGCACTATCTCTCGTAAGCGTATAGCTTAAGTAAGCGTATAGCTTATAACCCTAAGATGACAACCAACTAACTAAGGGCTCCCTAATTACAAGTCTCAGCAAAACCAGAACAGGTAAGATGACTTAGACATACACAACTTATACGTTTTCCTCGATTTTATTGAGCTGAGGTAGAAATATTCTCAATTTAGTAACTCATTACTTTGACTAGTGTAAATTGGTCTCTCTGAAAACCAGCCAATATACTCCAGCCTTCTTCTGGGAAGAAGAGCCAAAACTCAGTATCTAACCCATACCTGCAGGAGACAGCAGCGGAAGTTACTCAGATGAACAGATCACTGAAGTAGTTCACTTCAGTCAAAGGAAAGTGAAAAAACAACATGAAACATAGGAGTTGAACACAGTTTAGGAACATGGAACTGGACAAGGCCACCAGGGGAAGTGTGAGCAGCCCCACCAACAGAGACATGGAAGAGTACACACAGCACACTCCAAATGCCTCCTGCTTACATAAGCCAGAAATTGTTCAACATCTCATAAGCTTGAAACCTAAAGTAAAAGGCCAATAGCCATAACTACAGCATGCCAGAGGAAGAGACCTGTGAGATCAAAGACTTCTCTCAATAGCTATAAGCAGGACATTAACTGAAATACACAGACTATCCCAGAAAGATAACAACGTCTTGAGCTCTGGGAGAAAGGCAAAATCATCCCCCAATATTCCTTATCAATTTATTTCAATGAAAAATTATCAAACCTGCAATAAAAAAAGCAACGTGCTGTGCTCTAAATGCACGATAGATGGCAACCAGACCCCTGAGGCGTTCTAGTATCACCTGAAGTGCAAGTTCATCCCTTTTCAGATGCAGCCATCTTCACGGTGGAAAAAAGCTCCAAAAGGTGAACCTATACTCAGGAGATGAAGAAATAATTCCTTCCTGAACACAAAACAGCTGCAGTCCGCTGGCATGAAATTAGTGCTTGTGACAAGTGACACACAAGGCACAGTTATCGTCTCTCCTTTCAACTTCCTTGGGATTGAGAGGTTCAGCAAGTTGATTGGCACAACTTTTCAGAATCATTTCTGTTCTCTTAGATCCCTCCTTCCACAAACGGATCAGGCATAAGGGCACAAAGGTTTCTTCTCCCTACTGTTTTATCTGGAAGGCCATTTTAGAAATTTAATCCTCTGATGTTTAGCAACTTCTAACTTCTAATATAAATCTAGTCCTGACTCACTTGCATCAGTTGGTCTTGTACATGTATTATCCTTCAATTTATATAAGCCTTCTCATTTCTTACAGCGACCACCTAACAGTTACTTCTCCTGAGACGCTCTGGTCCAGACTGTCCATGTGGTTCACTGGAGTTGATGTGCCACAGGCTTTTCATTTTACTGCCGGCCCCTTTCGCGTCGATGGAATAAAGTGCATAAAAAAGGCTCATATTACCAGATGTTCCATAAAAGCATACCTCGCGCATCACTTGTGCAAAATCAAAACTAACTGCACCTATATGATCTGCTTCTGGAAAAAGAACTAAAAATATACTTAAGGCAATTAAATTACATGTTTCTAAAGCTACAAATTCTGGTAGTGTCTCTTTGAAGTATCAGCTGCACTATGTTCAAAGTAACGATTAGTGCTGTTTCTGAAAGACTACAAGAGCAGCAAAACATATAATCAGTGTTATGCAAAATTATTATAAAGAAAAAAAGCACTTCCAATCCTAACGGGACAGAACCACCTTCCATTACTATTACTCATCCACAGAGAGCTGCTTTTGTTCTCTGCTTTCCAGATCAGGCAAGAAGGGACACAAAGCAGAAGCTTCTTCGGTAACGTACAAATGGATCAAGTGATCCTGGCTGAAGTCCATCCTTAAAAAGATGTTCTGCTTGCTTTTTTGGACACTGTGCTATTATATGGAAAGTGCAAGCCCCTCTTCTAACGCTGACTGATATTCGCAGCAAGTCTGTAAGAAAAGCCCCTTACTGTAGAAAATAATTCAACAAGCATTACCATGAGTATATCAGAAGAGAATTCACTTATTGCAGTATACTGTATACCTGTTTTGTCTCAACACCAAGCACTTGCCTTTACTTAATCCTTCTAATTTACGTTGCCCGTTTATGTTCTGTAAACTAACACATTCCAGAGCAGCTTCCAACCCATTCTAACTATACTGCTAGAAACAGTTATGCCTCTTTTGCATCGTGGAGTGTAGTGCTTTATGACACAATTTGGCAAATGTAAACGTTTTTTGCCGATCCTATTTAGAAAGCAAACTGAAAGATTTAACTTCACGCAGCTGGGAACTCAGAAAACATTCGGCTAACAACCCAGCCCAGCCAACGACAGAAACCAGTAACAGCATACACACAATGTTTGATCTCTGCAAAAGGGGTAAAGAATAACAAGAAAAAAGTCTGTTAACTGAAAACAGAGCGGCTTCAGGTATCACAATTTTATAAAGTATTACTTTTAACACTTATTTTAAATGATTCAATATATGAGATAATAATTGTAGTAGAAGTAAAACACTTAATTCCTGCTCTTTTCACCGGGCCTTCTCAATCTTCTCCTTCAAGTGCATTGGGTAGAACCAGTCACTGAATTTCTTTGGACATACCCAAGCTCATTTAGCCTGCACTGAGGTAGGCATATATATTTATAATGCTTGAAACACACAATTGACTCTCCTGTTTGTCTGTTCAGTAGATGCCAAATTCAACCATGCCATCAAGCAACATAAAACTTCTTCAAAAATGGGAATAAAAGCTCCATTCTCCTTAAATCCACAACCATACTTCAAAACAAAAGTTTTCACAGCATGTTTAAAGTTGGGTTCTGGATTTTATTTATTTATTTTTTTTTTCAGTGTAACGTCCTGAAAATCTGCTCTGAGATGCATTCTCCCTGAACATATCACACCAATAACATTTTTGAATTATTCAGGGCTTCGATAAATAACCTGTTCCTTGTATCCAGAAATGTTAAGTCAGGTCCTGAAAAATGTACTTTTTTTTTTTTTTTTAAAAAAAAAAGGAAGCTTTCATAAAATTCTAAAAGCATCCTAAATTTTAAAGGTTATTCTCTTCCAAAGAAAATAATTGCTGTTTTCTTTCCCTTTAACATGCAACACTTGGAACAAGATGTTACTGCTATGTTAATGCAGAAGAGTGAAAATGAAACACACTATAATCTACAATCTTTCTATACGTTTAAAATAGAAGTACTCAACTAAGCTTTATAATTAGCAAAGATGAAAACTCTTCAAGTTCAGTTTTACAGACAATAAGTTTCTGAAATATTCATAATATCCTTTTCTACATCTTTAAAATACGCTTGTGCATCAACCTAGCTTTTCCACAAAACCAGACAACTGCATTGTAACAGTTTTACTTTAATTTTCAATGTCATTTGATGTCCTTCACTCTGTAAGTTAAATGACAAACTATATGAAAAGTTAGAAGTGAGGAGAATCCATATAATTTTGACAAACATTACACTGTGCATAACTATTGTTAAACACTAAGAACAAAGACCACGTGCTTTTATTGCCACAAGAAACGCAGGGATCACACACTACCATATCTACTGGTTTAATGTTTCCAGAATCGGCATAGGCAAATTCAGCAGAGATCTGTGTGATACACTCCTTCCATGTATTAAAAGGGTAAAAGATAGAAGAATGCCATGTACATGCAGGGGAGAAAGAAAAAGGTTATCATTTGGAATTTGGAAATGTAGAAAAAAAGGGGAAAAAATTGGAAAAATACTAAGATCCTTGTTCAGAGCCTGCATTTAAGAACAAGATGCTCCTGATTAACCTGGCTCCCTTATCTCCGGCTCCAGGTGTTGGTAGAAAGCCTGTTCCGAACAGCTGCTGAAGTAGCTGGCCGTTCCGCTTCTACCATCACCGGAACGAGGCTTTGCTAGAACCACCAGAGCTCACCTTTGCAGAGCCTGGTAGCTTCAGAAAAACATCAAAAGCATAGAACAGAGAGTCTACAACAGCAAAAAAGTGCCAATGTTCTTGTTCGCTCACTCTTCAACCAGCAATCCTCCAGTAAAGCTTGTCACAATGGGACAGAAAATGAAATAAAGCCTAACAGCAAGATCTTGCAACATCTCCGTGAACACTAATCCAAGTGTAGGTAGTCTAGAAATGCAATATTTGGGCTCTTTCAAGCTTTTGGAAGGTTTCTT